AACTGAATCAGTAATCAAAACTCTCCTAGAAAACAAAAGTCCAGTGTCAGATGGCTTCCCATAGGAATTCTACCAAAAATTTGAAGTAGAGTGAATACCCAATCTTCTCAAAGTATTCCAAAAAAAATAGAAAAGGAAGGAAAACTTCCAAATTCATTCTATGAGGCCAGCATCACCCTGATACCAAAATGAATAGACACCACTAAAAAAGAGAACTACAGGCCAATAGCCCTGATGAACATGAATGCATACATTCTCAATAAAATACTAGCAAACCAAATCCAAGTATATATTTAAAAAATCATTCACCACAATCAAGCGGAATTTATTCCTAGGCTGCAAGGATGGTTGCTATTTGCCAATCAATCAACATGATACATCACATTAATAATAGAAAGGATGAGAACCATATGATCATTTTGATAGATGCAGAAAAAGCATTTGACAAAGAACAATATCCATTCACGATAAAAAAAAAAACCCTCAACAAAATGGGTTTAGAAGGAACATACCTCAACATCACAAATGCCATATATGAAAAACCCACAACTAATATCATCCTCCATGGGGAAAAACTGAGAGCTTTTCCTCCATAGTCAGAAAAAAGACAGGATGTCCACTCTCACCACTTTTCTTACTCATAGTACTGGAAGTCTTAGCCATGGCAATCAAACAACAAAAAGAAATAAAAGGAATCCACATTGGTAAGGAAGAAGTAAGACTTTCACTATTTGCAGGTGACCTGTGATACTCTAAAAAGAAAAATCTAAAGACTCCACCCAAAACCTGCCAGAACTGAAAAACGATTTCAGTAAAGTTGCAAGATACAAAATCAACATGCAGAAATCTGCCGCATTTCTATACACCAAAATGAAAGCAGCAGAAAGAGAAATTAAGGAATCTGTCCCAGTTGCAATTGCAACAAAAACAATGAGACACCTGGGAATAAACCTAAGCAAAGAGGTAAAAGACCTGTACTCTGAAAACTATAAAACATTGATTAAAGAAAGTAAAGATGACACAAAGAAATGGAAAGGCATTCTGTGCTCAAAGATTGGAAGAACAAATATTGTTAAAATGTCTCTACTACCCAAAGCAATCCGCTGATTTAATGCAATCCCAATCAAAATACTACCAGCATTTTTCACAGAACTAGAGCAAACAATCCTAAAATTCATGTGGAACCACAAAAGACTCTGAAAAGATGCTCAACGTCACTCTTAGGGAAATACAGATCAAAACTACAATGAGATATCACCTCACACCTGTCAGAGTGGCTAAAATCAACAACACAAGAAACAACAGGTGTTTGCAGCAAGGATATGGAAAAAGAGGAACCCTCTTGTACTGTTGAGGGGAATGCAAGCTGATTCCACTCTGGAAAACAGTATAGTTTTCTCAAAAAAGTTGAAGACAGAACTGCCTTTCAATCCAGTAATTGCACTATGAGATATTTACCCAAAGAATATGAGGACACTAACTCAAAGGGATACATGCACCCTGATATTTATAGCAACATTATATATAGTATCCAAATTATGGAAACAGCCCAAACAAGTGTCCATCAGCTGAAGAATGGATGAAGATGAGGTGATAAATATATATTTATGCAATGACATCTTACTCATACATAAAAGAGAATGAAATCTTGCCATTTGCAATGACATGGATAAAGCCAGGCAGTAGAATACAAAACTAAATAAGTCAGTCAGAGAAACACAAATACCATGTGATTTCACTTATATGTGGAATTTAAGAAAGAAAACAAGCAAAAGAATAAAAAATAGGAGGGGTGGGAAGAGAGAAAGACCAAGCGAGATGCAGACTCTTAATTATAGAGAACAAACTGGTGGTTACCATTGGGGAAAGGGGTGGGGCAATGAGTGAAAGAGGTGATGGTGATAAAGGAGGGTACTTGTTGGGATGAGCACAGGGCAATGTATGGAACTGTTGAATAATATTGTGCACCTGAAACTAATATAACACTGTATGTTGACCAAGTGGAATTAAAATTAAAAATTAACAAAAAAAAGAAGAGAAGGTGGACTCTGCTATAGGATCACATCATAAACTCTTTACTAGTCACATTAGTTCATCGCCATCTATGAATTTGTTTTCACAACCAATTTGTTTCTAGCAGAGTCCATTGCCTTGTGAGTTTCACACAAAGTTGTCTGTGACCTTCAAATCTCTGGAGTCCTATTTATATCTCTGCTCAAAAATGAGGGGGTAGCTTTATCTTTTTTTTTTTCTCAGCTGTTAATTTTTTTTCTATTTTCTTGGTTTGATAAGGAATATCTTAGCATTGTAACTATTAGCTGATCTGAAGCTTCTGATAAACTTCAATATGCCCAGAGTTGGGGATCCCTGGGTGGCTCAGCGGTTGAGCACCTGCCTTCGGGCCCAGGGCGTGATCCCAGTTTGGGGATCGAGTCCCACGTCAGGCTACCTGCATGGAGCCTGCTTCTCCCTCTGCCTGTGTCTCTGCCTCTCTCTGTCTCTCATGAATGAATTAATAAGTAAAATCTTAAAAAAAAAACAGTGGTTAATTTGGGTACAGGGCAGTTCTAGATCTCTCTTTTACTTGGGATATAGATGGAACAGGGGGTGCATACAAATAAAACCTTATGGTTATCTTTGAATTGCAACCTAAAAATAACCTCAACATTTCTAGAGATTTAATTGTATCTAAAAAGGAACTCTATATTTATAAGATCATTACAAAGATTTACAAACTGAATCTCCAAGTTGGTAACCTGTGTAGATATACAAATTCTTTTAAGGTTACACACATTCAATAATTATTGGAATATTTCCAAACATCTGTTTTCAAATTACTCTTAGATTAGCACAAATTTTGTTATAAAGTGGTTACTTTCTCACTCATCATAAACTAACTGACAATACCGAATATTGGCGAGGATGTTGAGCGTCCTGATACATGACTGCCTGGCATATAGTATGCTCAAGCAAAACATTAATTATTAACAAAGATTGAATTCTCTCTTACTGTTAGATGAAATAAATTTTAGCTCAACTGTTTCTGTCCCCACCTCAGAGATATTCCCATGTCTCTTCCCTAACCCCACACTCTACTGTGGGGACAAGTTATATAACAGTCCACCGTGATGGTAAGTGGAATGTTTGCTCAATAAATTCCCAAAGGAAATATGGATACTGATAATTTAGAGCAGGAGTTGGCAAACTTCTATAAAGGGCCACATAATAAATATTTTAGGCTTCGAGGGCCATATGATCTCTGTCACAACTACTCAAGTCTGACATTATAGTGTAAAGCACCATAGACCATATGGTTAAAAAAAAACAAAAAGTGGCTGCATTTCAATAAAATTTTATTTATGGACACTGACTTTGAATTTCACGTAATTTTCACATGATGCAAAATATTATTCTGCTTTGGATTTTTTCCACCTCTTTGAAATGCACAAATCATTCTTGGCTCATGGGTCATAAGAGAACAGGCAACAAGATGAATGGTTGTCAGCACTTACTTTGCAGCCTCTTGATTTAGAGTCATGTAATTCTAAGTGATGATGAATTTGTGGAGAAAATCAGCCTGAAATTCCAGTATATTGGTAAAAGGTGTTTTCATTTATTGCTACTTTAAGAAACACTACATATCAAGTTTAATGGCAAACACTCCTTTTCCTCTCTAATGTAATCTTAATTGATAGAAGTGCTAATAAAAGGAGTTGGGTTTGCAAAAAATTCCAATGAAAAACTAAAGGAGTATAAAAATACACTTGTTTGAGGCCCACTGGCTGAATTCTGACTCCTTCCTGGGTTTTCTGTGGGTCCTGACACATGAGGGAGTGCGTGTTCTCTGACATTCCAGAAGATCGGAGGGATAAGAACTATTCCTAAGAGCATAGCATTTTAAAGACAGGCTTCCAAGTTGGTTCCCCTCGATCCTCTGAACTATCTGCCAAGAGAAGTGAAAGACAAATCTTTAACCTGACTGTTTAGTTGCCTCTCTCATTCTGCTATCATCCAAAGTCAGTTTTCTGTTATTGGCTGTATGTACAATTTCAAAATTGTTGTTTATATTCAGGCTGCACAGTGCAAAAAAAAATCATACAAAAGGGTAAGTTTGTGGAATGACTTTATAATAATGTGTACCTCCCATCCAACCAGCCCCAAATTGGGGGGATTTCTCAACCACAGCCACACAAAAAGATGATGAGGGGGCAGGGATTTCTCTTAAGGTGAAGTGTGTGCTGCCCCATAACTCACGTTGGGCCTGTGCCTGAGAACACCTCCTAGATTTCTATGCTCCTCTTCCTTTATTTAGGGGTGGCCCCAGGGGAGAGTTAGGAGACCCGAAGAAACAAGAGAAGTATAGAATAAGCAAGAAAACCAATCCAAGTGGGCTTGAATTGTCACTCTTCATTATAGATGGAAATAGATACTTGGTGAGCACCTGCCCCGTGTTGGAAACTTCACATAAACTCTTTCAGTTGTTGAAATAAATAAGAAAAGAGGAAGGAACAAAAAGTGTCCCCTTTCCAGCAGGAAAGAAAACCAACTGCTTCAAAGCAATTAAGGAGATAAAGCTTTCTTTTTTTAAGTCAGGGTTTTGTCTCATATATTATCCAAGAGATCAGATTGATGTCATTGAACTTTTGATTCCTGACAACAGCAAACTGCATGCGTGTTCAGTGTTTGATGTGTTTTCCAAGCAGCGTGGTAGTCCACTCCCACTCTGAAATAGGATGCAACGCATTGGTTGTGACTCCCTGGAAATATCAGGGTGTCAGTTCTGTTTTCCAGAAGGCATTGGAAAATGTTGCTTCTGAGTAATACACTGTGAGATCTCTTGATGGAAGAGAGAGGACAACTCTTTAACTGTGGTTCTACTCAGTGAGCTTCTGAGCATTTATTGGAATGTGGTCAATTACTAGACAATTGAAACAACTATCAGAAAAGACATGTTTCTAATTTAACGTCCTCATCCTTTTCTGTTTTTCCCTGTGATTCAGGAGGAAGGATGCTGGCTTCTTATCCTACAAAGATCACCTGCCAGTGAGCCAGGTGGTAGTTGGAGATACTGACCGTCAAGGCTCAGAAGCCAAACTGAGTGTGGGCCCTCTGCGCTGCCAAGGAGACAGTAAGTTTGCCCAGAAGCTGCGACTTGCACTTTCTTATCAGTTTTAAATAGCGTTTCCCAGAAAATCAGAGGATGGCAGGAAACAGACTTGCTCTCCCGTAACTCCTAAAGAAACACCACCCAACGAGAACAGAGCCAAATGAAGAGCTCAATAGGCCTTAATCCATACGGGAGGGCGGCAGCCGTGGAGTCTCCAGTACAGGAGCCTAATTTGGGCATAAAATGTGGATATCTATCTTCCTTGTAGATTCATATATAACAAGTTTGACTACCTAGGTTTATGGTGATATAAATAGGAATGCTAATAGCGTACAAGTGGCAGTCAACAGCTGTGATTCCACTGAGTGCTGCTGTTAATGCCATTAGCATGACTATTTATATCACCATAACTCAGTTTATGGTGATATAAATAGCAGCATTATGGCTTAATGTATCATTGTAAACTTGGATTATGGTCATATAAAGTTTGACATTATTGCGATCAAATTTCATCATCATCAGAGCTTGATGGTCCCCTGTAAGCCAAAGATGGTTTCTGTAACTCCGTCCTGCTTTCGGATTCAGCACCACGGAGAGGAATCTGGGGCTGCTAGCTTGGACTATGGGAGGTCAGGGAGTTAGAGTGATGATCCCGCCTAATTAAGGGCACTATTAGGATTTTATGTTGTTTGATACCCTTCGGTGTGCTTTATGTGCGGTCGGAGGGAAACAGTGCCGGGTTGCTACGGGGATCCTGCAATGAGCATCTTGGGTGTCATTTCCCCTTGTCTGGTCTATGCACGTGATTTGGGCAACTCCCCCGGGGAGTTCTGTGCTTTTTGTGATTGTGTGCTAGGCATCAGGAGACCTAGATTCTGTTCCTTGAATAACTGGCTTTCCAGGAGACCTCAGGCAAACCCTTCCACTTTCTCGGCTGTGGAAATGAGAATACCACCTGCGTCCCAACTCCTCGTGGGGAGGCCATAAAGATTTTAGTGCGGGATCTGGATTCCTCCTAGCAAAGCATTCTGTGCGACGGAATATTATTACCAGTTTCATAAATCAAGGGAGAATTAGACCTACTCGATGTAATAAATTATTGCATCGACTCCAAGAGGTGTCCTAAGGAATGTAATGGTGCATGCTTAAATGTTTACTACTTAGCAAACTAGGGCTGCTGGCAATTAAACAAGGCAATGTTCCTGATACAAAAGAGAGATGGAGTTTGTGCTGATTTTTCCTTTTGGAGTTAGAGAGATGAAAATGTTACCTTTAAAATAGACGCTGGTCAAAGAGCTTTATCAAGCATTTACTGAACAATAATGCTTTATTTGTTGAGCCAGGCTTTGTAGGACTATGCAGTAAGAAATGTCATTCCAACTGCTTACGAAAAAGATATTGACACAAATTAGTAGTGATAAGGATGCATTTTTAAAAATATTTCGAGAGGTGGTTGTATGTTGGGATCGCTCTCAAGATAAGCAGGCTCTCCTGTGCTGTCTGATGAAAATCAACTTCATTATGCCATAATTATTCATTAATATATGAAGGTTCAATATTTCCTACTCGCCAATTCTAACTCTGAAGCTGGCTGTGAATTAAAGAAAGTCCCCTCCCCCCCCATGAAGTAGTTGATTAACTTGGCATAAAATTATAAAAATCCCACTTCGGCAAACTTTTGTTACCTCTCTTAAAGAGAAGAAATGTTCCAGCCACATTAAATAGTATACATAGGAGTGCGTTAACAGCTTACAGCTAATTAGCTTGTGTCTCTTAATCAATAAATCAGTCTTCAGGAAGAATTTGTTACCTGTTTGCTATTTGTCTAGCACTTTCCTAGATACGCTTGAGAAATAAGAAAAAGATGTTAAGCTACATTTTGAGAAACGCGCACGAAGACGTACTGGAAAACAAAGTGTTTTATAATACGAGATTAGATTTTGCAACATAAAATCAGTGCTACCGATGCTCCAGAAAGGGGTGGCATAGTGTATTCCAGGCAGACTTTATGTTTAGAAAGAGAAATTAGGAAAAGTGCAGTGGTCCGTGTTCATTCACATTTCTTTTCCGAGGCTGTTGTTCTTTGAGACATCCTTAGGACCCATTGATAAGACAAAGAGCTGTCGCATTCACTGGCACTGGATGAGCTCAGTGTTCCTACAGTACTGCAGCTTCAGGGAGACTCTTTATTTTTTATTTTTTATTTTTTATTTTTTATTGGTGTTCAATTTGCCAACATAGAACATAACACCCAGGGCTCATCCCGTCAAGTGCCCCCCTCAGTGCCCGTCACCCAGTCACCCCCACCCCCGCCCACCTCCCCTTCCACCACCCCTATTCATTTCCCAGAGTTAGGAGTCTCTCATGTTCTGTCTCCCTTTCTGATATTTCCCACTCATTTCAGAGAGACTCTTAATCCGAATTTTGCCTGCGACTCCATAAAACAAAAGCATAGTCTATATTTAATCGCAATTACATGGAACACTTTTGTGTCAGAGAGACGGAATTCTTCCCTTTTTTGCAGGCATCTGAGAACATCATACCTTGTACCTGAGTTGCCAGGTGGCAGTTTTGATGCCCACCTTTAAGAATGTTCTAGCCAAGGCACAGCAATGAGAAAGGGTCCCACATCGTATCATTTTATAGTTTTTAATAGGTTTCATTTTCTCTGATACTTACAGCCTCCCATGAGGTGGGTAAGGGCAGATATTAGCCTTCCTGCTTACAAATGACAAAATATTTCTTTTAAAATGTCATCTACGCTACAGGTTTCTGTAGACCGTTGCAGCCTCTGGGAGGCTCCAGGAGGAAAGACAGAGCAGAGAATAGAAACAGCTTGCTCTGTGCAAGGCCAAGGTTGTTTCCCTGAGTCAGTTGATGATGAAATTCTTTTTTTTTTTTTTTAATAGCCATTTGGGTCTCATCCCACCCACCCACGTCCAGCTACCAAAATAGCATGGATGTCTCCAGGATTCAATTCTGATTGTTGTAATTTAAGAAGGGGCATAGTGCATTTATCCTGTCGTTTATAGAGATTAACCTACTTTGTATCATTTGCTGAAGTCTGTACAGAGCTACAGTTGAAAAAACAAATCTGCTGTTGGAAAATGTCTTTCTCTATCTGAGGAGTTGAGGGATGACAGCTTGGAAAGCTGTATCTTGAATTAGGTCCCCGTTCTATCACCCAGTCTTAGAGAATGACACAATTTTTGTAGGCTCTGACCAACCGTTTCGGTGGCTCCGGGTGATTTCATCATGCCTGCTGAGTTTCATTTTTACTTTGACTCCTCTGAACCCATAGACCCAGATAATCCAAATGCTAAAGAAAATCAAGTCGAAGTTCCACTCAGGTCCGCTGCATTTCCCATGGAGCGCTGAAAACGCTTATGATCTTAGAGTTTAGTTTTTTGAGGTTGGTGGTGATGGTGGTTGATTTTTTTTTTCAGACACATTCAAATGGAAACCTCAAGTCGAAATAAAACTGCAAGTATGACTAGTGATGGGTGGTTAGCTAAGATAAAAAGTGCGGTGAAGTTACAAATCCCCTTCTTAAACCAGGCACACTCACCAAGGAAGAAACAAAAGAGCTGTTTAGAGGATCAGCCACTGGTAGATAGAAACTGTTTGGGGAATATAAATAATAGTGAAATGGAATAGAGGGGAAGGGAGAGGAAATAGGTAGGAAATATCAGAAAGGGAGACAGACATGGAAGACTCCTAACTCTGGGAAACGAACTAGGGGTGGTGGAAGGGGAGGAGGGTGGAAGGTGGGGGTGACGGGGTGATGGGCACTGAGGGGGGCACTTGAGGGGATGAGCACTGGGTGTTATTCTGTATGTTGGCAAATTGAACACCAATAAAAAATAAATTTATTATTAAAATAAAAAAATAAAAGAATAAAAAAATGTAAATGCATAACCCTTCTTGCAGAGAGTTGCTGAACTTCTGTGGAATCGGTACAAAAATAAAACATTTCAGGGTCTGGAGGTAGAAATCTTATTCGTAGTATATACAGTGAATATAATTAATTTTAGAAATAAAGTATGTGTTGGATGATTTCATTCTCAGCTTTACGAGCTAAAGATTTTCCATATCTTCTCTAGGGATTCAGGGACTTAAAAAAAAAAACTAATTAGGAGCAAGTTTGCTACAAAAGCAAGTGTTTTCAACACATGGGTAGAGACCATTCACGAATACGTGTTTACTCTGGGACTTTTTCCCAGTCCATCCAGAAGCTGGCTCTGGCCTTAAGACAGGCCCGCAGAGCACTGGAGTCAGGCTGGATGTTTGAAATGCAAATTCAGCGTCTCAGAGGTGACTCAGAAGCCAAGAAGAAAAGGTTCCAGGAGCAACAAATCCTGGGCAGGAACACAGGAGGGCAGAGACAAAGCCAAGGGTGAAGGAAAGAAGACGTGATGGAGTTTCATGTAAACTTCTCCAAGAATGTCATCGAATGTGCCAGTGTAATACAAAGGCCACATGCTCTTTACTGCAAGACTCTTACAAACCACAACCATAACCAGCCACTCCCTCACCAAGAAAGACAAGGCAATGACTACATCCACGCCTTGTGTTGCTACAGATAAGACATTTCCAGTGGAAATGCAAATGAGTATCATTTTCTAGGGTTGTGCCCAGCACACACCCAGGCCACACCATCTATCTCCCTGTGAGCATCAGGGTGAGACACACTCTGTGCACAGAGGGGCCGGACAAGGAGAGAGGAACAGCGACTCACCTTGGCTCAGAAAGCCAAGTCTTGATGATGGGAAGGAAACCACTATTGGGGCCCCAGAGGGGAGTAGAGGGTTTGCTTATCCCCTTTTACTCTGCTGCTCTAGGCTTGGAAGAGATGAGGAAGGCAAAGGGCCCGGCATGCCCATTATAGACCAAGCGCTTTATATTTGTTTCTCGCTCAATTCTCCCAACATCCTGGATGAGGTGGGGCCTTTGTCTTGAGCGTACAAGTGAGCAAACAGACTTATGGGGTGATTTGCCAGGATGTTTCAGAGCTGGGGCCA